GAGCTTTGTAAAACACATATAAAACAAAACAGAAGTTTGTTGTTGAAATATTCTTGAATAGAAAACATAACAGACACAGACTACGTGTCTGTTTGCTCACCATTCATGGAGAAGAGATTTTGCTATCGCAGTGGCTAAAAATTCGACGGCCGCGGCGGCGAAAACTTACGTGGCGGACGTCGAGTGGAACAACACGGGTGGTGCCAACCTCATTTCACACTCATTTTTTTACATCGTTTTTTTTTTTTTTTTTTCGCAGCCGAGGTGAAAAAAAAGTTGTTTAGTCTTGAGAAGGTCAATGCAGTTATCCTGCCAGGGTTGAACAAATCTTCAATAATAGCGAAACATCCGTCAACTGTGCTTGAGGTAAGTGCTATCTTTTGGATGAGCATCGTACCGGCGTGCGGTCGTGTATCACTACTGCGTGGTGCACGTTCAAGACCCCAGGCTAGCGATTGTACTGCACTGGCTAAATTGCTCATCTACAGCTGGGAGACTCGTCGTCCCTGTGAGGCAGACCAAGTATATATCTAGGCTGTATAAACACACACACAACCCAATTTTTCCTATCTGAAACCAATTTAGCTCTTGCAACGTCTGAAAAATATTTCCCAGGGCACAGTTTCCATTGAAACACAGAGCTTTCTAAAAAAAAATAATAATAAAACACTTTTGTCAATAAAAAAAAAAAAAAAATGAGTCGCATGTAACACGGTAGGCAGTCTACCGCTAAACAGTACGATTTCATCGGTGTTCGCATCGAAAAAAGAGTGTCCTCAGAGATGAAGCGCATGACGGCCTAGCTCTTCGGCCACGTTGAGTGATCGGTCGGAAGTCAGAAAACAATAAAATTTCCGAATCGCACTCAGTGGCGGAGCGTCCATGCCCTAAAAGGAAATGCGGAGAAACCGAAACTCAAGTCGGCCGCCCGTACAGTGTTTCCAGACCACGAAGAGGTTTTGCAACTCGCATCCACGTAGTTCCGTTTTTACGCAGAGGAGTTTGGGTTTGCCTTTTGTATGGGAGTGTCTGCTCCGACGGCCGTCGCTCGAGCCATGTCCACACGGGGACGGCTCCTTCGACACCGGAAGTAGTAAAACGTCACTTCCGGTGTCAAAGTAGCTTGCCCCACAGGCTTGCCCTGTCTGGGCGGTCTGGGCATGGCTCCTTCGACACCGGTAGTTGAGGGTGACATCACTTCTGGTGTCGCAGCCTCGTGTGGTGTGGCTGTCGCCGCTGTCACTGCCCTTCCCGAGTCTGCGACTGGTCAAGTTCTGGGTCGGTTTCACGCAAACTTTTTGCACTCATTTGAAGCGTTCCATTTGTCATTTGCCTGATTACTTATTTGTTTAACCATATTCATTAGTATTTACTGCCATTGTCTGTATTTTGCGCTTTGATCGCGTTAATTTGGATTTTGTATCGGGTTGTAAACGAGCGTGGTCGCACTCCCAACGTGCGTCGTGTTTTGGTAGCCGGTACTTCTCGTCGATTGACCGGAGGGCTACTGAGGTCGCCGCATCTAGTGGGATTAAGATTGAGAACTTGTTTCACGGTCTGACAGGCTTGCCGTTTTTGACGTTGCCATCGTGCACGTCGGCAGTAACAACACCAGCGTTAGTGCTAGCCTGTGCATTTGTCTGGTCATTAAAAACGACAGCGTAGTCACGCTGCCGAGATGCAGGTTATGAATGATTACTACCGGGAGCTAAGCTCCCTGCAGCGCGAGTTTTGTAGCAAAGAGGGGTTCGAGTTTCTCGGCGGCTTGGCCAACGAGTAGCAGCAGTGGATCGGTCGCGACTGCTCGGAACGGACGGCAGCCAAGTGACAGCAGCCCAGCTCGTGGCCACAACAAAAAAAAAAAGAAAGTCCTTTTTATTTCCACGTGCCGCTCCTTATATAAGCGCTCTATAAATGATGGTGTCCTCTGGCGAGCAATAAGATAACATCACCTCAGTAGTGCCCACTACATCTCCCCTTAGGATCTATAAGTCAGTCGCCTTGGCGGTCCAAACACACGACCGCAACGTGTGCGTCTCAGCCGAAGCCCTTCTTGCTAAGGCTCTGGTGATGATGCTGGTTGACCCTCACCAGGCGTAGACTGCTGTAAACTTGGTCCTTGATTTCGTTCACTGGCTGGCAGTTCCTCCGTTGACTGGCCTTTTGAGAAGGGGATTAGATGCCAAAGGTTTCACTGCAGAGTTCCCCTGGGCGTTTCCACCGCATATGACTGTGGTCACTGAGCGGGGCTGAGGATACTGCCTCGGCAATTGACGTCCTTAACCCACACGTCCTCCCCCTAACTTCAAGGGGATCGGAAGACTTGAAGTATGCCGGCGACTGTGGTTCTTTGCCTGTTGTGACGTGTTTGCGGCATCTCTTGCCTTGAAGTTCTGATGGCTTGGCAGTGATGGCTGAAGTCGTTCTGGTAGACCACGAAGTCAAGTTAGTTTTCTTCCCATTAACAACTGGGCAGGAGAAACACCATTGACACCGGGTGTGTCTCGGTACGATAGAAGAGCCAGGTTTTGATCGGTGCTCTTTGCAAACAAGTTCTTCACGATACGCACCATGCGTTCTACTTCGCCGTTATTCTAGGGTTATCGCTGGCTCCTAGTCTCGTGGCGAAATCTGTGCCTGAGCAAAGTCTGCAAACTCTGACGAGATGCGAACTGCGGTCCAATATCTGTCCACACGACGTTCGGGATTCAATAGCAAGCCATGCAACTCTTGACAGCTGAGATGGCTGCTTGCGCAGATGTAGATCCGAGAGAGATGACCTCAGGAAACCTTGAGTAGTAGTCTACAATCAGAACATAGTCACATCCTTTTAGCTGGAACATTCGGAATGGACGATGTCGAAGAGACAGCAGCCCGTGATACCCCCAGATTAACGGTGAAGTAGAGCGCATGGTGCATACCATGAAAGACTTGTTTGCAAAGAACTCTGATCCATACCTGACTGTCCTCGTTGCAATCCAAGTCGGCCATTCCGCCGGGTTGGTGAAAGTGAATGGTGCTGAAGGATAAATTCCCGACGCTCCGACGCAAACCACTTGGATACGGAGGTCACCTTCTGCCATAGTGACGGTGTTAGCCAGCTTCTGACACCATGTTTGGAAGGGACGACAGCTAAGTAACAGCAGCCCAGCTCGTGACCACAACCAAAAAGAAAAAGCCCTTTTATTTCCATGCGCCGCACCGGTTCTTATATAAGCACTTTATAAATGATGGTGTCCTCTGGCGAGCAACAAGAAAAACACCATCACCCTAATAGCGCCCACTATTGTGACGGCATCCACCCAAGCCAGATGGGCAACAAGGTATGGCGTCTGTGCCGACGAGCACAAATATAGAGACATCGATCGCAAGGATGGCTACAGTAGTAGCCGTACAAGTAGCCGTCTGTGCATATTCACTTGCAATGTACTTAAGAAAAAAATGTTGACTGAGGTGTTTGCAATGTGAAGGAGGCTTATTGCAGAAAAGGCACCGTGGTCATGTGAGCTTTCAGTTGCTCAACAAAAAATCCCCCCGGTGGTCTAAATATTCCTGTGCCCTCCGTTGCGTTTAGCACGTAAACCTAAAAAAATTTGTTTCAAAAATTTTCTTTTTGAGGGTGTATGAAAATTACAATCACCCTTATACTCAGTGTTCACAAGAACTTAACTTGAAGTATTTGTTTTTAGTACTTTGCAAGGAAGCTACAACTCCCTACCTCAAGTACATTCTCCAAACCTGGTCTTACTTAATTTGCATTGCTAAACGGTGCTAGGTTAACTCTGGAGAAATACTGCGAGGTACATTCTTACCTAGCGAGGTGCGTAAGCAGACGATGCATTGCTCCATATTGTCTTTGAGAACAATGTCTTTTTCATCGTTCTTAGAAGACAACAGAGTTTTAGAGAACCATTTTTCAACTCGGATTTCGATATCATTGGTTCCACTGGAATTAACTGCGCATGGAATGTGTGCATCTGCATGTCATATTGTTACTGGAGCTGGAAAATGGTTCCTTTGAACTCTCTTAACCATACTTCGTCTCGGATGTTTCGTACAGCTCTGGGAAACGCACAGAAACAAATGCATTGATCTGAGCACTGGTTTGTTTCGTGAGGGCTCAGGAAAATCTAGGCTCTTTCAAAACCCATGTGCCGATGTCCTTGGCTTTCCATATAGTACCTACATGCACCAACCTAACAACAAAGTGGTAGGCTGTTATCATGCAAAAGTGTTGATTTCTTTCGAAACCTCTTCTGGCCATTCCTCTCAGAGGACTGGCAGTTATAAGTGGCGTATAACTTTATGTTAATACATGCTTTGTACGCAATGTCATTCCTACTTGTTCTGCCCAAGAAGTAAGAGTTTGAAGGTGTGAAATTTATGCTGCAGAAGGTACGAGCACAGGAGCATGGTACGGAGTAATGACTGCTGATGTAATGAAAATGCAAGCCATGTATAGCTCATCGGGGAGAGAAAAAAAGTACTGGGTGACCTCTTGGCCATGTCTGATATTTGCCGCTAGTACCGCAAATAATTCCCATATTACACACTTGAGTACGTGTGCATACCATGATTTGAAAGACACTCAGAGTGGGAATGAAGAGGACCATCAGTTTACTTTATTTTTAAAAAAAAAGACTGCATTTATTGTACTTTACTTCAACTGCATTACGCCCTTTATACTTACTACTCACCTTGATGTACATAATTACTCTAACTTTACTTCAAGTAGTTTTTAGATATGCTTTACTTTATGAAACACTGCTTAAAATTTTAAATGGACACTAACTCAGACAATTAAGTTAGGCTGACAGTCAGGTTTGGTGCTCTGGTGTAGAGGTTAATAGTTGGGCACTCTCAGCTATCTGGGCAGGTTCTTGCCAAGTTCATGGAGTACTAGGAGTACTAGGGGACAACAATGAAGGCTTCCTCAAGCGCTGGCTGGACCATCAAAAGTGTTCCACCAGCCATGCTCTGTGAGGTTGAGTTTCCTCCACCTTGCTCTCCTGCTGCTTCCGCACCACCTCTGCCACTTGCTTCTGCTGCTTCCTCCCCTGAGAGTACCTGTGCACCTTGTGAAGCAGCTGCTGATCAGGTGCAGAGATGTCAGGGCAGAGATGTCAAAATCTGCAGGCTCTCCTGTACCAGGTGCCTGCATGGCCTCTGAGCTCGTTTTGGACAGAGGCCAACCAGTTGTCACATCTGGAAAGGCTGAGCGGAGGCACAGATGAGGCAAGCCTTCTGATGTGCCAGTGAAGTAGAGCCATGGTGCTGGGTTCAGGCTGGTTGGTGGTGTTTGAGTCCACAGCAAGGATAGTCAGGTAGGGCAAACCTGGGAAAGCATGCCTCTTGCTAGTGCAGAGGAGTGCCTGAAAGCCACATCTTCAAGGAGCACAGCTTCCTTGAGTGGAAAAGCTATACTCCGTTCCACCTTCGGTCCGAGCGCAGTGGACGCCACAAGCCATTCCAGCCGATCCAGCGCCAGGAGAAAATCGCGTGACCTGCCTGTTGGGCAGAGCGACACCTGAAGCTCAAGGTCACATGCCACCCTCTCAACGCTTGATTGGCTGGGATGGCTCCTATGGCGTCCACTGCGCTCGGGCTGAAGGTGAAATGGAGTATAGCACAGAGGAGTGCCCGAAAACCACTTCCTTAGGAAGCACAGCTTTTGGAGGGGACGGTGAGTGTGAAGCTAGTGCAGAGAAGTGCCCAAAAGTCACTTCCTTGGGAAGCACAGCTTCTGTAAAGGCCTGCGAGCAAGCAGCCCTTGTCACTGCCGATGTTTCGGGTAGAAAAGCTAGTGCAGAATGCCTAAAACCACTTTCTTGGAAGTCACAGCTTTTGCAGAGAATGGTGAGCATGAAGCTAGTGTAGAGGAGTGCCCGAAAGCCTCTTCCTTGGGGAGCACAGCTCCTGTAAAGGCATGGGAGCAAGCAGCCCCATGCCACTGGTAATGCTTCGGGTGGGAAAGCTAGTGTAGAGAAGTGCCTAAAAGTCACTTCCTCGGGGAGCACAGCTTCTGTAGAGGCTGGCCTTTACTAAGTGGCTTTTGAAGTGACAGAAACCAAGGCAGTGTGCCCTTTCCAAAGCAACGGTGGGAGGAGGGAAGCAGCGTGGGTGAAGTACAAGAGCACAAAGCGAGGGTCTCGCAGGCTGTGTAAGGCACTAAACCATACTGCCACTATTGCATCCCCCACCATTGCTTGGGATGGAGGAGACCTTGCATAGGGTGCCTCTTTTCTTTGTATGTGTCTGATAATCCATTTTCTGGCTTGGGGGAGGACAGCCCAGCATGTGCGACAAAGAGCAGGGCCACTGGAGGCAAGCATCCCGTCACAGCCCTGCTGCAGAACCATTTTCCTGCAGGCCAAGTTTAGCAACTATCCAACCTATCTAGCAGCATTTGAAGACTAGACCCAAAAAGAGTTGCATGTATTTAAAAAAAAAAAAGAAAAAAAAAAAAAAGCTCAAAGACATGTTCACTAGTTCAATCTGATGAATTTAAGTACTCCATCTAGTCAAACCAACAGCTAACTCCTTGGCCCAATGCAGTGAACGAGAGCTAAATGAAAAACTGATCGATATTCAGGCGTTCCTTAGCAGTCTTACAACCTTCCCTAGCAGCCAGGTGCAGCTCTTGTCGTAGTCAGTTGCACCCTGTGCAGCTTGAGAGGATGTATCTCAGCAGCAGCTAATAGACAACAATCGGTGGGGCAACTTTTTCCGAAAAAACTGCATTAGTTTGATCAAGTGCAGGAGGCAGACCACGAAATGTGACAGTTATAAGAAATCATGCACTTTATGGAATGTTCCACAACAAGGCACTTTACCTTAGTATGATAGGGGCAGAGTTAATTCCTCTCTACAGAAGTTATTCACTTACTGAAAAAGAACTGGCATGGTAAGATCCAACAGTTCTCTGTCTGATAGTGTTATGAATATTGTGCGGTACTTAACATGTAAAACATTTCCACATTGGGGTGGTTTTCAAGCTGTTCTGCTAGCTGAGGGACTAAAATTCAAACAGGTGAGAGATGCTTTCATTCAGCTATTGCGTACAAAGTTCCAGACCATTGGCAGTGATGTGATACTTGTGCCAAAGAGGAACTCGGGCCAGCATTGCGCCAAAACTTAATTTAAACAACTCGCAATTTGGCCGGAACGATAGGATTGTGCGAGTTTGCAGATCTTTAGAATATTACGTCATATAACATACTAACTCGGTCTGATTTCGCATCAAACACAGACATTACTCGTGTAAGCGAGTGCCATTGTGTTTTGCCCTTTTTCTTCTATTTTGCCGGGCGCATCCCTGAAGTCGCCTACGAAGCTAAGAGGGCACGAATGTTGTGAGGCTCTGTGTTAACACTGACTCCTCGGCATCAGGGGTCTCAAACGTGGATTCCAGCGCCATGAAGATGCAAGTTGCAACTGGCTGGCGTCGGACCGGATGCGACATCTGCCAGCCAGGCGAGACCAAGCACCGCGAGAGAAGAACTATACAGCAGTCTACCAGCGGGACTCTGAGCAAGAGCATTGTGCGATGGTGGTATGTAACCACCGTAGTTACCAAATTTGTAAATTTGGGAACTATGGCCTAAATTTGTACTTTTGACTATATTAAACCCAGTGTTTTTTTAATTGACAAAAGCTTAGTTGTCAAGACCTCATTTATTTTCTAGAATATATTTTATTTGAGACTATTTCTAACACTCTGAAGTTCCGCAATAATTTTTGCGTTCTGTTCTGGCGGGCTAGTTTCGATTGAGTGCGCTTCTCACCGCTCACTGGTGTACTGCAGTGAAGCGACAACCGCGGAGTAGGCATCGCGATTTTGTGTCTTGCTTCGCTGCAGCGCACCTGTGTGCTAAGGGGAAAGCATACCTCCAGAGCTGGACTGGACGATTTTTGAATAAAATTCGGCTTGTATGTATGATAGACTGACTGCAGTATTGTGGAGGTATCTTTTCCCAATTCTATATTTAGCAAGGATACTTCAGTATTGCAAATGTATTTATGTGGACTCTTCTTTAAGTTAATGTTTTATGCCAACTTTTTTGTTTAGTTGTCACTCTTATCTAGGTGTGAGTGAATTAGCGGTTAAATTACCAGAAGTAGAGAATGCAAGCTTGAGAAGAACCTTAACAAGTTCGGTGGAGTTGTTTATAAGAAGGCATATTTATCATTTACAGGCCAGTTTTAGGGGCCAAGCACCTTAGGGTCTAGCCTTTGTCCGGCGTCTGTGCTCACATCGATTGCCATCCCATCTGTCTTCTTAAAAAAAGCAAAAATGTTTGCGCAGTCGACAGGATTCAAAACTGTGCGGGGAGACCCCAATGGATTTCTAGTCCATCACCTTAACCACTCGGCCACGACTGCGGGACGAGTAGGGGGCTCTGAGATGTGGTAGTAACTCGAGCTGGGGATGTCATGGATGAAACGTTGCATGTAGCCGCTCAACGTCTATACAGGAGAGAGCGCTGCAGTCAAATGCGTATATAATTGCGTTAAACTTTGCATCAATTGGCTCAACGTTTATAGACTGTCAAACGCTGCTGTCAAATGCTCAAATGCATATATAACCACGTTCCATACCAACGCAACCCAGAGCTCGGCACTACCTATGAGCAATAAAAAAAAATCGGCACCATCAGCACTACCTATGAACAAAATCAGTATCATTAGCACCACCGAGAACTTCACCCCAACCAACATCATTCACCCCGTGGAGATGCTGTCATTTTTTTTTTTTGTTATGACAGTTCTAGGTATAAAAATATAATTGATGCTTCATAATCAAATGACAAGTGCTTTTTTTTCTGTATTAAGAACTGCAGTTTTATTACAACCTGTAGAACTTGAAGGAAACAAATTTAGGCACTCAAAATTATTGTATTCTAGCATTATTTCAGTGGGTTTGCGTACCTAAATTTACAATTCACCACAATTCATGCTGTCCTTCATCTGTCATCTTGTCACCGTGTCTGGTGCGTCTGCACGCAAGTAAACTGCTAGTTTTGTACTTGAGGAAATCAATCCTGCTGTGCAATCAATGATAACAAAAGGTTGCACATAAGTGAGAAGGCAAAGTAGACTCTGCCTAGTTGGACAGGTCAACACATGAATCTTAATGTAACATTTGCAGTGCTATGAATGAAAATGGAATGTGCGCTTGTGCTCCAAAAGTTCTTTTGGCTGCTCCAAGAGCTGCTCCAAAACGACCTGAGCGATTATGTCACTGCATTGGCTCTCAGTATCAAACATTGGGACACCTCCAAACTCTGTCTTTGCGTATGGTTAAATTGAAGATGTTCCTCCTGATTTTGTCAAGCAACTGTGCAGCATTCTGAAGTTACAATTGGCCACTATAAATGTTTTTATAAAACCTGCACAAAGTCAAGGCCAAGTCAAAGTCAAATTTGGGGGTTTTACGTGCCAAACCAATGACGGGCATCTGGCACGCCCCAGCGGAGGACTAAGGATTAATTTCGACCACCTGGGGATCTCTTGGACGTGCAACCGAAAGCTCGGTTACACGGCGCCTCCTCCGCAATAAGCCTCCGTCAGATTGCGGGCACCTCAGCCAGGATTCGAACCCGCCACATGGGGATCCGTAGGCCAGCGGTCTCGCCTCGGAGCCACCGAGGCGGCTCACAAAGTCAAGGCGGCACTCTGGATTGTGGCTTATTCACAATAGCTAACATGCAATACATAGAATCCGGCAAAGACCTTACCCCTGTAAGCTTCTGACAACAGTCAATGAGGACCCATTTACTAAACTGCATTCTAAAGGGAATGACGAAAGACTTTCTCATAATAAATTTTATTGTTTCTCAAGTACGACCAAAAGACTTCGCTTATGCTGTTCATTGCTTGTGCAGGCAGCCTCTGCTTTGTGCCGGTGCTGTTGGCATTATTCAATGTGCAGGTTGCCCATCCCTCTTTCACGAGGAGTGTCTAGGCAGAAAACCTAATTGTGGCATACAGTTTGCATGCAGTCGAGGGTGTATTGTCACTGGAATGCAGAAGAATAGGCAGAGGTTATCCTAAATTACTGTTTCAAGACCTTGAACTTTATTTACCATACCCGCCAAGTTCGGAAAAACCAAATCCGGGAGAATTTCTAGGAGGGGGGGGGGGGGGGGTAAAGGTTCTTTAAAAAGATATTGATAACAAATGTAAATGAAGACAACTTCATTATATTTATAGTGCACTGCTCATGCTAGCGAAGGACTGCTGTGCCTCGCTATCATAGCAGCCGTTTGTTACGACGGCAAAAACTGCTTATTTAAGTGCGAGGAGGGAAGGGGGGGGATTTGAGTTTCTTGGGAGATTTTTCTGGCAATCGTACAAATTGGTCAAAATTCGGGAGTCTCCCGGGTAATACGGGTAACTCGGCAGGTATGATTTACCCTTGTTATGTTTATTCTTGTTATTCTTTACCTTTGTTTTGTTTCCACCTGCATATTTCTTACTTTTCATTGTTAGAGTGATATGACAAAAACTGACTGATATATTTGAAAAGGCATGTGACCCTGCAATAAGTTGCAAATTATTATTACAATTGTGTTCAAACACTCATCGTTGCCAACAATTTCAGTAACAATTGTTGTAAAAAAAACTTGCTCTCGAGACTAATAGATGGATAATAACAGCTGTACCCTTTATAATGGGTGGCAGCTTCCACCTCCTAGCCTAAAACATTAACAAAAACTAAAAGCATCATCCACTGCCTCCTCCCTTCGGCGAGGGAGTCACCAATTTTTCTCTGGTCAAACCTTGTCAGCGTCAGCTGATTCCTGACAACACCGCAGTAAAATGTTGGGACACAAGTTTAATGAAATAATTTGCAACTGGTTATCAGGTCACACCTTTTCATCTGCAACAGTGTGCCCCCTCCATTTCAAATACCCTCTTTTTTTTACTTATATTCAGCATAAGAAAAGTACTATGTGCAGCTGCTTATTCCTATGGGGGACAAGACAAAAACAGCTTAGTAATTCTAATTTTTATGCTTTAGTGTATGGTGCTTTTAATGTCTTTCTTTTCTTTAATTTAGGTCTTTTGGAGGAGCCAGACTGCTAGAGAGTGCATGCTCTCAGGTGGTGGATAGAGAAATGTCTTCTGTTAGGAAGTTGTGAAAACAACTTACTTCTACAAGATAGGCACTCGTGCTCATGGATCAACAAGCTTCTTTTTTTTTTTTTGGTTAATGTTCCTTTTTCTTTTTAGTTTGCATTTAGTTCATTTCTTATTTTGTGCTTGTGGTAGGTCTTATTTTGTTGAAATAAACTTTTTGCATCCATTTCATTCATGCTATTCTTGTTGCAAAAACACCGGCAGCAACATTCGTTCAAGATAATGCTGCTGAACAGGTTACATTGAAGCAAAGCAAATGTGTCAAAGGGACTGACAATTGAAACAGTTAGCATATTAAACTTCATACTTCTTGGAAGGCGCACTGATGCGACTGCTGCACCAAAGGCCTCAACCTGCTATATGCTGCTAAAATCAACCAAAATACTACGATGAATTTGTGCCAACACTGCCTGAAAAGCTCGACTTTTGCTCGCTATTTGAGAATTGCTCAGAGCTTGGTACCTTGCTGGATCATTATAGTAGGATGGTGCCTGTTCTCAAAAATACAGACTATTGATTGGACCAACACACTATTTGATTTTACCTTCGTATCGAACAGGGACAGTACACTTAAGTTCCCTAATAGTCCTCATTATTTTAAGTTTGTTGAGGTGGCCACACTAGCTTTGGTGAGTGTACTTCTCGATAGGCTTTGGTGGACTGTGGAGAAGACACTCGTACTGTAAACAGGTGTTGCAGGTTTGCTTTCCTGCAACACACTTTCGTACTAGGGGAAGACTTACCTAATGAGCGGGGTATTAAGAAATTAAACATCTGGGATATGGTACATGTTGATCTGACAATAAAACCTTGCAGCAAAATTGCAAAAATTAACTGCAGCTATTATGTAGGTGTGCATGTGACAGGGCTGGGGCAGAGATACTACAAGAAGTATTTGGGGAATACAAATACTGTGATACTTCCATTTTAAGGCCCAAAATACAGATACCGAGATAAATTTGCCTTTTATGTAACGGGATATCCCCGAGATACTTCTGCAAAACGGGCGAAAAAGTATTCTGGAATGCAGATGCTTATAGAAATACATTTGTTGCCGAATGGCGCTACGTGAGGAGGGTATAATTCGTGGCGAAATACGAATGGTAATTTATGCTTGTGCTCCTCATTTTGTGCCATTTTAAGCATTACCCCCTTTGCTCAAACTCTTTATTTATCATTGTGCCGCTAGAAAAACGTCATCCCCCTTGAACCACATAGTTATAGAACGGTAAAGACTGCGTATGATGCCTGACAAAACGCGTCTGCCCAAAATTAACATTGTTAACCAAGAGGGCGCAAAACCAGTGCAGCCGCCACGTTAGGACTGGCGCTGTGATCCGCTTTCGGAGCGGAAGCACAGGGTGTCCGTATGCATCTGTTAGCTCTTGTTTCACCGCACCACGTTGTCTGCTACATGTAATTATTCGCAGTTTGATGAGACCATTCGGCATTTCCTTAGTTTTAATGTATAAAAACGAAGTCTTTTCTGTGGATGTTTCCTTACTCCAGTCTACTAAAAAGTTTTATGTATGAAATGCGTTTGTCCAGATTCCTTCACATTCATTTAGCAATAGTAGATTCAGGCCAAGTCTCTAGAATTTCGCATTTAGGATAGATGTGCAGCATCAGGATGATTTCATGTCTGGAGTTCCTGGCGGCCGTGCGCGGCCAGGAGCGGTCACTTCGAAGACGAAGGCCTGACGAGAGCGTTTTGGCCAAAACAGTTATCAACCGTCACTTTGGTGTCAAGTTGAAGCATTTATTCTGATTCTCAAGACAGATCGGCGTGGAACTAGCATGCCAATGCCGATTCTCTGCGTTTTTCCCAGGCCCACTAGTGGGCGTCCACAAATACCAGCGGAAAAAAGCATGCAGTATTATGCTCAGCTATGGGGCATGCAAGTGCTCTTGTATTAAATCCCAGACCTCTGCAATGTATCGGGATCGTCAGTCTGCATCCAAGAGCTACTCAAGGCGGGGGCTATCAAGAGTGTGATAGTTTTCCTGTGTCTTTTAAGAAGAATATGAACAAAGCACCACGTAGCATCAAAAAGAAACAATTTACACGAGTCAATCTTTCAACGCTTACCACAGGGAGCAAAACCTGTGCAAGCAGGTGCGTAAAACGCTTTCAGAATATCATAATTGAGCACATTCCTACCCTAGGTTAGGATCTTGATTCTGTGTCCACCATGGGTGCATTATTTTCATAAGTGAAAGGAAATGTAACCTCTCACTGGGCGTTATTGTTAAACATTGCAGACATTTGAGCAAGAGCTCCGAGAAATGGCACCACAAGCAGAGATGGGCGATGGGTGTTCTCTGCTCTTGTTGTCTGCTTCTGCACAGACGCTGAACTGACTCCGGAGCTGGTGCAAGCTTTTAAGGAACTGGGTCTGAACTCGTTTAGAACTGGGATGAATTGAATGTGCCAGTGCAGCGGACTGTGCAACTTCAGGGTGAATTGAATGCGCCAGTTCCTGCACTGCTGAACTAGTTCAGCCACTTTAGGCAAATCAAACAGGCCTCTTACGATGTTGTACACCCTCACTATAATAGTACCTTTGAATGTCAGTAGCAGACTCTCATCAGGCAACCACCGAAACGGCACCTTGTGTCAGATGCTGGGACGACGACCGGCGTGTCTCAGAAGAGCACGAGAACACGCATGCCAGTGAGCACAACAAGAATGTCTAAAACCACGGTCTAGAAACAAAAGGTAGCACCTGAAATTACATGTACCACCCATCTCGATGCATGGCACGCCTGTCAAGAAAGCCGGTTTGGGCACGACCGTCACATAGATAAGAAGTGCAAGACATCTTCTCATTGAGTTTTAAGCTAAGAGACTGTGTGAAAAACTTGTTGAACTGTACGCATTTTTCATGAAAGGGAACTTCTTGCTTTGAAACTCACAATGGCACATTTAAAATCTTATATTGTGACCCATACAAAAGTATTTAATATTATTGGTGCGACACTTTTTCTAAGCATCAGAACTGTCTACTTAAGTAAAGGTGTCAAATGCTGTCCAGCTTCACATTATTTATTCACGCAAGACAACCAAAGAGCTTGAACAAACATTCACTATATCAAAGCAGAAAAAATATGTAACTTCACATGTAAAAAAAACAAACGTGTTTCCCCTGTGAGTTGCAGTTTGAATACTAATCAATGTTGCAGGCCTTATCAGCAAAAACCGGCTAAAGTGCTCAGCGAAGAAAAAGAAAAAAAATCTTTTTGTGTTGGGATTTGTCCTTACAATGTGCTTCATTTGCATTGCATGCCCTAGTTAAGTGTCTGCGCATTACATGCCCCAGACACTAAAACGATAAATACCTCGTTGCCTGAAAAGCACGTTCTAGCTTCGATCCGCAATTGCAGTTTTGCGAATTCGCCAAGCTTAGTAAATTCTAAATGGTTTTCTTCTGCACTTGAATGCTTTAGGGAAAAGGATGGAATTTGAGTTCGATTTATACAGTTAAATTTTTGTAGGGATCGTTGACTTTGCCAAGTGTTAGCTACAAAATAATGCATTCGTCAAAAAAGCATAACACTTCAAATGTAACTATTTCACGAATCGAAAACAGCAGCCCAGGTTCGACACATTTTTACCTGTGAAACTCCTAAGGAAGGTGTGTTGCAATTTCTAGACCTTTCTCTATCTTTGCAAACAAACCACCTGTGCTGGTCATTTTCACCCCGTTCTAAAAAAGGTTTACTGCACTATACGTCCTCGCACTCAAAAGTCGTAAAGAGAGGCATAGCTCTTTCCTGCCTTACTTCAGCCCTAAAGAAGTCATGCCTCCACACCATCAAAAGCAGTTTTAATGCTCAAATTGAGAGGCTTACAGCGTCTGGCTTTCCAGCGCAGGTGCTAACCGAAGTGGTTGGAACTCTGATAAAAAAAGTAAAAGGATGCGAAAAAGCTGCACGTGATATCGACAAAAAAAAGAGTGGTGGTGGTTCCGTATATACACAGAATATCCCATAATCTTAAACAGGTAGCCAATAGGTACGGAGTCCCCTTAGTGATGTCAGCACCCCAAAAAATGGGTCAAATTTGTTCTAGAGTTCGAGCAAAAATAGAAAATATTACAAAACACAGGTGCCGCACAAAACACGTCCGCCCTTACGTGCCCTGTTCAACCAGAGTGGTTTATAGCATTCCCCTTTCCTGTGGCAGATCCTACGTAGGACAGACGGGACGGTGTATTAATGACCGGTTAAGGGAGCACAATCTTTCTCTAAATTCAACAGTGGGGGGTCACCTACCTCTGCATTGTCAAGCGTGTAAGTGTACACCTTCTTTACAAAAGACCTCGATAATTTGCAGATTCACCGAAAAACACACTCGCGAAATTTTTGAAGCCTTTAGTATACTCCGCTTAGGCGAGCGTTGTGTCAGCCATCCTTCTGTGGCTTTAACCGACAAGGAAATAGCCTTTCTACAGTCGTTCGAGTGTGGTTGATGGTGTGCGTCCTCCGCGTGCTCGGGTGCCCCCGTGCGAGTGTGGCCTCGGCTCGAGCTGATACCGAGGGCTGTTCTTTTTTCTTCCATCAATACATCGAGTTGTGAGTTTGCGCTTGTCTCTTCTCTCTTCCCTCTTCTCTGTACCTTTCTATTTGTGCGCAATTTTAACCATGTTCAATCATTACCAACTCGCCCAACTAACTACTTTACTTCGACACATACGAGCGGTCAAAAATACACGGCATGAGAACGACGCAGCAACCGGCAACATCACAGGAATTTCATAACAGCAGAGAAAAAAAAATTAAATTACACCCATTCGCTCGGTACAACTATGATTTTATTATGTATAAAGCAACACAAGAGTTTCAACTCACCAACGCAGGTTCGATGTAACGTTCAGCGTGCTTGGGCCGCTGGGTAAGAGCAAGGAAGTTTCGTCTAGTAGAGTATAGTTATTGCATTTATTCCATTCCTGATACGCTTATCGATCTTTCGACGAACCAATTCGAATGTCACCTTTGATAATGTTTGCAGAAAAGCCAAAAAAGTAAAATATCTCGCACCTCCTGCACCTTGTTCACAGGACTGGTGAGCGCCATGACACAACAGATCCGCAGAAATTGAAACACGTTTGAACGTAAACATAACGAATTTGTTTTGTATTTGCAAAGTTAATAGATCCTGTTTAATTAACAAAATTATTTTTTTAATTTTATTTTATATTTCTATGGACGG